GCCAAAGAGAGGTAGACCTGTTATAGTCAAAGACAGCTAGACCTGTTACAGCCAAAGAGAGCTAGACCTGTTACAGCCAAAGAGAGCTAGACCTGTTACAGCCAAAGCAAAACTGATGGCAGGATTATATATAGTATGTACAAAAAAATTGTAGTGAAATATTTTGAAGCATTTTGCCTGCAATGGAACAGGTGTCTTTTTCTGAGAATCAAAAATTTTGCAGCTGCATTCAGTAACAATGGTAATTTGAATATATATTATCAAATTTATCCCCAGTTTATGTTTCATGTCATTGAATTAAGTTTTATTTTGTGAAATTATGCAATTTTTCTTTTTCTTTGTATATTTTACAAAAGATAAAACACAGACATGCTTTTCTCATTTTCAGACATGTTCCTGTGTTATGAATTATTATTGAATTATGCACCATGTAATTTTTATTATGTTCGTGCAATGGTTAAAATTTTGTATAAATTGAGCTGAAATCTGGTAGTTTGCTGTTTGAGAATTCAAAAAACTTCTATTACAATACATGTATTAAGACTGAAATATAATTTGATGTTACCATTAACTATTTTGTTATTAACATATATCTAATGGTTTAATAATTATTTTGTTGTGGCTGTTATATTCCTTTTGATTATATTTTATTTTACATCAAAGCTACTTTGTTTATCAGTAAATTTTGTCACCTGTCGAAGAGATCCAATTACAACTGAATTGTGTGGTAATACAAATTTTGTATCATCAATACTAGTTGCAACATTGCAGCTAAAATTGTCTGAACATTTCTAAAAGCTACAGAATAATTCAATAGTAATCTTTTCTTTGATGTACCTGGCATATGTCTTGCAGGTATTTAGGCAACTGTAATGTTACATGTAATAATAAAAAAAATCATTTGTCTTTTGGCACACCTTGCTGCATCTCATTTTACTTCTGTGTGGTCCTGTATGACCTGAATGTTTGTCATCTCTAATGTTGCCATAGAGATAATTTCCTTCATTTTTTTAAGCAATGTAATTGATACAGTCCCCTAATCTGCCCCTGTAGTCACAACGATAGCCACATAGATAGTCACTATGATAGTCACATTGATAGTCACAAGGATAGTCACATTGATAGTCACATTGATAGTCACATTGATAGTCATTAGTATGGTCACATTGATAGCAACAATGATTGATAGTCACATTGATAGTCATTAGTATGGTCACATTGATAGTCATATTGATTGTCATTAGTATGGTCACAATGATAGTCATTAGTATGGTCACATTGATAGTCACATTGATAGTCATTAGTATGGTCACATTGATAGTCACATTGATAGTCATTAGTATGGTCACATTGATAGTCACATTGATAGTCATTAGTATGGTCACATTGATAGTCACATTGATAGTCATTAGTATGGTCACATTGATAGTCACATTGATAGTCATTAGTATGGTCACATTGATAGTCACATTGATAGTCATTAGTATGGTCACATTGATAGTCACATTGATAGTCATTAGTATGGTCACATTGATAGTCACATTGATAGTCATTAGTATGGTCACATTGATAGTCACATTGATAGTCATTAGTATGGTCACATTGATAGTCACATTGATAGTCATTAGTATGGTCACATTGATAGTCACATTGATAGTCATTAGTATGGTCACATTGATAGTCACATTGATAGTCATTAGTATGGTCACATTGATAGTCACATTGATAGTCATTAGTATGGTCACATTGATAGTCACATTGATAGTCATTAGTATGGTCACATTGATAGTCACATTGATAGTCATTAGTATGGTCACATTGATAGTCACATTGATAGTCATTAGTATGGTCACATTGATAGTCACATTGATAGTCATTAGTATGGTCACATTGATAGTCACATTGATAGTCATTAGTAGGGTCACATTGATAGTCACATTGATAGTCATTAGTATGGTCACATTGATAGTCACATTGATAGTCATTAGTATGGTCACATTGATAGTCACATTGATAGTCATTAGTATGGTCACATTGATAGTCACATTGATAGTCATTAGTATGGTCACATTGATAGTCACATTGATAGTCATTAGTATGGTCACATTGATAGTCACATTGATAGTCATTAGTATGGTCACATTGATAGTCACATTGATAGTCATTAGTATGGTCACATTGATAGTCACATTGATAGTCATTAGTATGGTCACATTGATAGTCACATTGATAGTCATTAGTATGGTCACATTGATAGTCACATTGATAGTCATTAGTATGGTCACATTGATAGTCACATTGATAGTCATTAGTATGGTCACATTGATAGTCACATTGATAGTCATTAGTATGGTCACATTGATAGTCACATTGATAGTCATTAGTATGGTCACATTGATAGTCACATTGATAGTCATTAGTATAGTCACATTGATAGTCACATTGATAGTCATTAGTATGGTCACATTGATAGTCACATTGATCGTCATTATTATGGTCACATTGATAGTCACAATGATAGTCACATTGATAGTCACAAGGATAGTCACAATGATAGTCACAAGGATTGTCACATTGATAGTCATTAGTATGGTCACATTGATAGTCACATTGTTAGTCATTAGTATGGCCACATTGATAGTCACGTTGATAGTCACAATGATAGTCACATTGATAGTCATTAGTATGGTCACATTGATAGTCACAATGATATTTATTAGTATGGTCACATTGATAGTCACATTGATAGTCTTAAGTATGGTCACATTGATAGTCACATTGATAGTCATTAGTATGGTCACATTGATAGTCACATTGATAGTCATTAGTATGGTCACATTGATAGTCACATTGATAGTCATTAGTATGGTCACATTGATAGTCACATTGATAGTCATTAGTATGGTCACATTGATAGTCACATTGATAGTCATTAGTATGGTCACATTGATAGTCACATTGATAGTCATTAGTATGGTCACATTGATAGTCACATTGATAGTCATTAGTATGGTCACATTGATAGTCACATTGATAGTCATTAGTATGGTCACATTGATAGTCACATTGATAGTCATTAGTATGGTCACATTGATAGTCACATTGATAGTCATTAGTATGGTCACATTGATAGTCACATTGATAGTCATTAGTATGGTCACATTGATAGTCACATTGATAGTCATTAGTATGGTCACATTGATAGTCACATTGATAGTCATTAGTATGGTCACATTGATAGTCACATTGATAGTCATTATTATGGTCACATTGATAGTCACATTGATAGTCACAATGATAGTCATTAGTATGGTCACATTGATAGTCACATTGATAGTCATTATTATGGTCACATTGATAGTCACATTGATAGTCACATTGATAGTCACAATGATAGTCACATTGATAGTCACAAGGATAGTCACAATGATAGTCACATTGATAGTCACAAGGATTGTCACATTGATAGTCATTAGTATGGTCACATTGATAGCCACAATGATAGTCTCAACAATTTTTTTTTAGTCACAAATGATGCTTTGGAAAGAATTTGCAAGGCACGCTTGCATACTAAGTAGGAACGAAATCTGAAAATGAGGAGGACCAATGGCATCACCTTGGCCTATATCAATAATGTGTCGGCGTGAATCATAAAGACCACTCGGCCATGTTTAATGACCAATTGTAAAATGAAATGTGTTATGCACATCTACACATGGGCACCAATGCTTATGTGAAATTTAATTATTTTCTGGCCAGCAAATTCAGAGAAAAGGTCCAGAAACACTTTGTCAGAAGAAAATTAAGAAGAAAAGAACAATGAAGTATGTTAAAAAACAGCAAACTCAATCACTTCGTGTGGTGGACTTAAATATAGTGGGGTGGCTTGTGATTAAAATGTAATCACTATTCTGTACTTCATTTCAGTTCTAATACTGCTCAGCTATAGCTGGGATATCATTAAAGAATCTAAGATCATTTTAGAATCTCCACTATGTTATAATACATTTCCAACCTGTTAATTTGTTTGAAAATAAATCAGTGGCATATGGTTCCACTTTTCTTTAGAAAACTACTCTTTTATACATAAAGCCCTAACACAGGACAGAAACAGTATAAGTCAAATCTAGGCAACATTCAGTGGATGTGGGAATTTTTATAATAGCAGCTGTGTAGAATAAATAAGAGGTCAAAAATTAACAGTATTAGAGATTCTATTTGAGGGAGAAATTCAATATCTATTATGTATGTGAAGAAACTTTGTTTTTCTGCATTTTCATCTCAAAGTTTTACATGTACACTGTATGTATGCAATTTACAAAGGCATGCAAATTACTCCAGTTTTTACAGTGAATTGCCTGAAAGTAGCATCACTCATACATCTGGTGTACATTAAAGTGCATTGGTCTGAGGGATTCTCCGTGTAAATGTATTGTCTTGGAAAGCTCAGTGTGTTGCTGCTATCAGACTTAAAAGTGATAATCAGGGATTAATGTAGGACATCTTCTGGCATAACTTCAAAGTGGCTTATACTCCCAATTAAACATGGTTCCAAGTGGAAATGCTGTGTTACAAAATGTGATTTAATGGAAAACAAAGTGATAAACAGTTAATCTTTGGGATGTTTGAGAGCACACTGTACAATTTGTAAGTTTGTTTTCCTGAACCCGATATTCTACATACAGATGTTTATCACATGTTTTACTTGTATGTAAAACAGAATAAGCTTTGAGGGGGCCATCAAGGGGATCCTCTGGGCCCCCTCAAAGCTGAAATTGGCCTCCTAATTTCCTTTTTCTTTTAATTTTGTCTTATTACAGTGAAGTTGCTTTAGTATAACATTTTGGTTTAGTGGAGCTGTTGAAGAGGAAGAAAAAACTGCATAAAGAATCGAAAATAATGCAATTTCCGGTGACAACTTTTAAATATGCAGAAATATTTATTTGAATGTTATTTTTGCAAGTTATGGAATAATTGTTTTCTTTTTCTGATACTTGCAGGGAAGAAGATGAATGCTGAGGATCATGACCTCAGTGAATCGCTGCTGGATGTACGATCCAATGGAAGCGCCAAATTTGTTGTAGAAAGACCAGTTTTCTCACAGCAGAAATTTGACGAGGGATTTGAACCTGGAACTCGTCCACAGAGCACACTAAGGCAGAGTTTAAGTAAAGCTAAATCAAAATGCCATTGTTCCGGGAATTGTTGTATGAAGTTTCTTTACAGTATCTTTCCCTTCCTGGATATCCTAAAGGAGTACAATATAAAAAAGGATTTGTCTGGCGACATTGTGTCTGGTCTAACAGTCGGTATCATGCATATTCCTCAAGGTAATTTATGACATAACCTTATCTTTGGGCAGTCTCCTTGTTATTGATTGAATTCATTTCCACTCTCCAGAATACCATTCCTGTCAACCCTTCCAAAATATTGTGTGAGTCCCCCAAATTTTTATGGTATCTCCCAAATTTTCCCACTAGGGATAATTAATTCTACTGATTTGTCTTGATTTTTGTCTCGCCGCCACAAAGTGGAAGCGAGACTTAGGTGTTGCTTTTCCGGCAACGGCGGTGACAGGCATCAACATTAATTTTTTGCATTTAGGTTAGTTTCTCTGAAAGTATAAGTGATAGACCAACCAAACTTGCACCATAGATGCATCTTGGGTAGTACATCTCAACCCATGCATCAAATGCTGGATGCGGCCTACCTTTTATGGTCCATTAACTTAAAGTTTTTGGCGTTTAAGTTAGTTTCTCTGATATGTGTATTGATGGTCAAAGTGGGGCACAGGCGAGACACATCAATCTAAATGGCTTGTTAACATGTTGTAAGAGTAAAAATAGTTGCACAATAGATGAAAAAGGAATGTTGTCATGAATTAGAGAAGTACCATGCGGGAATGATAAATAGTTAGAGAGATCTGAGAATATTGTAGTGTGGAGCATTCCTGGAGAAATGAGAGAAGTTACATGATACATTATTAACTACTGCTTCAATTACACTATGATGAATATTTTGTTTCTGATAATACAGGCATGGCATATGGTATGTTGACGGGTCTACCTCCAGTATACGGACTGTATGCCTCCTTCTTTCCAACACTTGTTTATTTCTTCTTCGGGACATCAAGGCATGTTTCAATGGGTAAGTAATCATCGCTTTATAACAGCAGTACTGTTAAATCCAGAGCAGAAACTGTTGCCGTCTGGCCTTCATAAATTATAGCATATTATTAGCTCACCTGGTCTGAAGGACCAGTGAGCTTATGCCGCAGCGCAGCATCCGTCGATGTCCGTCGTCAACTTTTTAGCTCAAGTCTCAAGTGACCTATTGCGATCATCTTTTGTCCGGCGTCGTCCGTCCGTAAACAATTTTCGACTTCTTACCCAAAACCCCTGAACCAATTTCAATGAAACTTTGCAGAAACCTTCCATGGTCAAAGGTCAACAAAAATAGTTGCCGGTTTGGTCCCTGGCCCCCAGGGGCCTGAGGGGCGGGTCAAAAAGGGTCAAATTGACTAAAATATTAAAAATCTTCTTATCAAGACCCAGATATGGTAGAATCAAATACTCTTCTTAGATGGATGGGTCTTAAGGTGCTTTACCAAAATTGTGAATTTCTTGACCCTGGGGTCTCATGTTTCCCCCTGGGGAGGGGGTAAACTTTACTATAGTTTATATAGGGAAATCACATTTTGGACCAACATTTGTTTAATTGCCATTGGAGGTAATTCAATTTAGGTTAGCATTATCAGTATTGGGTAGCAGTTTGATGGTATGCGCCTATGAGCCCTGACTGACCCCCGGGGATGATGGGAGGGGCCAAAAAGGGTTGAATTGACTTAAATTTCAAAAATCTTCTTCTCAAGACCCAGATATGGTAGAATCAAACACTCTTCATAGATGGAAGGGTCTCAAGGTGCTCTACCAAAATTGGGAATTTTATGACCCTTGGGTCTCACGTGTACCCGTGGGGTAAACTTTACTATAGTTTATATAGGGAAATCACATTTTGGACCAACATTTGTTTAATTTTCATTGGAAGTAATTAAATTTAGGTAAGCATTATCAGTATTTGGTAGCAGTTTGATGGTATGCACATATAAGTCCTGACTGACCCCCCAGGGCTGATGGGTGAGGCCAAAAAGGGTTGAATTGACAAAAATTTCAAAAAAAATCTTCTCAAAGACCCTGATATGGTAGAATCAAAAACTCTTCATAGATGGAAGGGTCTCAAGGTTTATGACCCTAGGGTCTCATGTTAACTCCCTGGGGAAGGAGGGGGGGGGGGGGGGGGGAGCAACATTTATTATGGTTTATAATGGCAAATGATACTTTGAATATTACATGTTTTAAAATAACTTGATTGGAATCATAACCCTGAGTTGGGTGGGGCCCAAAGGAGTCAGTGTGCTAAAATTTCTTCATTTTCCTTGTTTAGAATCAGAGGTGCTAGTTTCAAATACTTTTTAGTCTTAAATCTGTATGCTAGATATTGAATAAGGTGGTTTTATTGTTTTTTGTCACTGAATAATATTTCTGTTCGTGTTAAAAACAAAATCAACTCTCTGTATAAATATATCAGGTGACCGTTAAGGCCCATGGGCCTCTTGTTCTTTAAACCTATCTCCTCCTAAACGCTTAAGAGCATTTCAACCAAATTGCCCTGAAGCATCAGTAGGGAAGGGCAATCATTTCTTAAATAAATGAGGTTGGTTCGACTCCTGAGGCCAGGGGGGCGGGGCCCTGAAGGGGAACTTAGCTAAATTTGCTTTAAAACGCTTTTCCACCTAAACGCCAGAGAGGATTTCAACCTTTAGTCGGAAGCATCAGTAGGAAAGGGCAATCATTTCTTGAATAAATGAGGTTGGTTCAACCCCTGAGGCCAGGGGGGTAGGGCCCTGTAGGTGAACTTAGCTAAAATTTTACCTTAAAATGCATCTCCTCCTAAAAACCAGAGATGATTTTAACCAAATTTGCTCTGAAACTTCATTGGGGGAGGGCAATCATTTCCTAAATAAATGAGGCTAGTTCGACCCCTGGGGCTAGGAAGGCACAGAGAGGATTGTCATGGTCCATTGACTTTGTCAGCATCTCCATCAACATTAAGGTTTTGCGTTTAAGTTAGTTTCTCTGAAACTATAAGTGCTACACCAACCAAACTTTCACCATAGATGCATCTTAGGTAGTACATCTCAACCCATGCATCCAATCCTGGATGCAGCCTACTTTTCATGGTCCATTGACTTTGTCAGTATCTCCATCAACATTAAGTTTTTGCATTTAAGTTAGTTTCTCTGAAACTATAAGTGCTACACCAACCAAACTTGACATGTGCATTGATGGTCAAAGTGGGGCGCAGGCGAGACATCAATCCAAATGGCCTGTTTAATCATGCAATATGATTTTCAGTAGAAATTATATTGTTTCAACCATTGAAGATCATAATAAGAAAGCATATGATACCACCATGTTTTAAGATGCTGTATTTCAGGGATGTTGACAGCACTGCCATGATTTGTGATAATGTATTGCAGGGACATTTGCTGTGGCTAGTCTAATGATAGGGTCAGCCCTGGACAAACACATGCCTGCTGGGGTCAGTGTATGCCAGCCGACCTTGGAGTCAACTGTTGGTTTGATGGTCAATGAAACAGAGAACAGCACGTTTTCTGTGATTGGAAACAGCTCCCTGGAATCTAACGGTACCCATGACTGGATGAAGGGATGTATGACCGAATTCGACCTGGAGATGATACGGCTGCAATATGCCATGGCAATCACCTTTGTGTCCGGAGCCATCCATGTAAGAACTTTGGTTGCCGTATTATTATTAAACACATACTTTATACCAGGATAGGTTTCCTTCAGCTCTGTTTTGCGGGGAGTTTCAGCCCTCTGTACGTAATGAGGGGGAGTTTCAGCCCTCTGTACGTAATGAGGGGGAGTTTCAGCCCTCTGTACGTAATGAGGGGGAGTTTCTGCCCTCTGTAATGAGGGGGAGTTTTTGTTCGCTACAGCAAACATTGGTTAACAACATCATAAACATAGTAATCAAAGGGCAAACTTAACACTGGGCCAATTTGAATTTTATAGGCATAGGGCAAAAGATTGCCTGGGCGAATAGTTCCAGTAATTAGACAAACAAGGTCATATTCAAGTACACCAGGGTACATTGTTAATCAGATTCGTTAGGGCAATCATAAATTAGCCATCATCTTCTTCCTTAGATATATGATAACTGGTCTTTGGATATTCAGTGTTTTACAGAGAAAAAATATGCTAAAATTGTTCATGTTGGAATAGAAATGCTACTAAAACATGAATATTTACAGTTAAGAGACTGAAACTGCTTTCTTATGGATAGTCTAATTATAGTTTTGATGATACTTAAACATCGTTATTTTTAGCTCACTTGGCACTTCGTGGCGTGGCGTCCGGCGTCAATATTTTACTTTAAACGACTTCTTCTTAATAACCGAAAGGCCTAGGGTGTCGATATTTGACCAGAAGCAAACTGGTATAAAGTTTGTTAAAATTAATGACCTTCACCCATTTTCAAGGTCACAGGGGTCAAATATGTTAAAAACTTTAAACATCTTCTTCTCGATAACCTAACTGCCCAGGGAGATGATATTTGGCCAGTAGCATGCTGGGGTGAAGTGCTATCAAGTTTGTTCAAATGAATGACGTTCAGTAATATTTAAGGTCACAGGGGTCAAATATGTTAAAAACATTACACAACTTCTTCTGAATAACCAAAATACACAGGGTGATGATATTTGGCCAGTAGCATGCTAGGGTAAAGGGCTATCAAGTTTGTTCAAATGCATGACCTTCACCCATATTCAAGGTCACAGGGGTCAAATATGTTAAAAACTTTTAAACAACTTGTTCTGAATAACCAAAATGCCCAGGGTGATGATATTTGGCCAGTAGCATACTAGGATCAAGGGCTACCAAGGTTTTTTTTAAAGTGAATGACTTTGACTTATATTCAAGGTCACAGGAGTCAAATTTGTTTAAAATCTTTAAACGACCTCTTCTGAATAACCATGGGTCCCAGGATGTTATACTATGCAAATTGCATCCTGAGATGAAAGGCTATAAAATGTGTTTAACATAATGACTTTGTTCAACTTTCAATCACAGGGGTGGAATGTTTAAAAAAAAAAAAATGGGTCTTTTGAATGAATTTTAATCATAAATACTGATATTTTGCCTGTAGCTTTATTTTAGATCACTTTTAGGGTTACAAGTGTGAGATTTATACCAGGTGAGCGATGCAGGCCCATTGGACCTCTTGTTTTAAAAACAAATTAGTTTAGGTTTGTGGGAATTAAGGTAAAAAATGTTGTACATTATGTTTAGACCTACAGAATCACTTGGTGGGTAAAAAGGGTTAATTTATTGTCTGTTGCTGTACACTTCAAGTGAAGGTGTGGTTCCAAGTGACCTGAACATTTGTTACAGTTTGTTAACAAAATGCCACTCACAATGATCATACTATATGAAGCAGTAGAAAGGAAAGCTCTCAATGTCAAAACAGTGACCCCACCTAAATTCCTCCCGTAAAATACACATTTCCAGTTGATATGTCCCATTGATGTCAAACTCTGTTTCTCTGCATGATCATAAATACTAGGGTGCAGAAAAGAAAAACGTGTTTCTAACAAAACACTTTTTATGAAATTATTGTGAAAAAGTATATTGTTGACTATTTATTGGCAGCTGGCTATGGGTTTGGCACACCTGGGATTTGTGACCACCTACCTGTCAGATCCACTTGTTAGTGGTTTCACCACCGGGGCAGCCTGTCATGTGTTTACGAGCCAAATCAAACACATATTTGGGATCACAACAGGACGATACAGTGGCGCTTTTAAACTTGTATATGTAAGTCACAGTCTTTTGTTAAGTTTGAGTTGATAGGTTTTTTGGCTTGTCTTGCAAAGTTCCTATGAGTTCATGCAATTGGGCATTGTCTGTCATCCATCCATCTATGGTCAGCTTTACCATTTAACAACTTCTTTTATAAAGTAATAAGGTCTACAGTCATGATAGCTGTCCTACTGCTTTCTGTAAGCTTACGATATGCTGTTAAAATGAGTCAAATTGACCTTTTTTCAAAGTCAAAACATTGCTTTGTTGTCCTTTAGCTATTTACATGTGTATTGTGTGGAGAATCGAGTTGTCTTCTAGATTATTCATTTGCACAACATTGACTGACTATTAAGATTACCAGTGCAAAATTTTCATGAAAAATCAGGTCATTCTTTTTTATTGTTAATAACCTGGAAAATGTTCAAATATTAAATTTCAAATGTGGTTATTTTACATTTATGTTAATAAGAGAAATGCTGACATATTATCATGCTAATATGTAGTTAATCCACAAATTTACAATATTTTATTGATTTTATTTCAGACCTACATAGATTTCTTCAAGAACATTCCAATGACAAACCCAGTAACCATAGGAACCTCAGTTGTGTGTCTTGTGATTCTGTATTGCGTGAAAGAATTTATCAATAATAACCCAAAAATTAAACCCAAACTGAAGATGCCAGTTCCCATAGAACTGATCATGGTAAGTATAAATAATATAATTGTGTACTTTCCCTAAAACAAAGAAACATTAAACAGTCTGCAGTTTAAAAATGAAATACAATGAGTATAAATATTACTACGGGGCAATAGTGAGTAATGTTTTATAGGAAGTATAAAATGTACCGTAAAAACCCATGTAATTTGCGCACCTGTGTAATTTGCGCACCTGTGTAATTTGCGCATTGATGTAAAATGATATTTAAAACCGAGAAGAAACTACGTAAAATGTGTATTTTGTTGCTTGTTTTCTTTGAAACCTATCCATACACCCAAACCACCTATGTGTGATATTGCCTATTTACCAGGTATCAACCTTTTTGTGACACTCGTGTGATCTGAGATGTCAGACTTATACCTACGTGTGATATTGCCTATTTACCAGGTATCAACCTTTTTGTGACACTCGTGTGATCTGAGATGTCAGACTTATACCTACGTGTGATATTGCCTATTTACCAGGTATCAACCTTTTTGTGACACTCGTGTGATCTGAGATGTCAGACTTATACCTACGTGTGATATTGCCTATTTACCAGGTATCAACCTTTTTGTGACACTCGTGTGATCTGAGATGTCAGACTTATACCTACGTGTGATATTGCCTATTTACCAGGTATCAACCTTTTTGTGACACTCGTGTGATCTGAGATGTCAGACTTATACCTACGTGTGATATTGCCTATTTACCAGGTATCAACCTTTTTGTGACACTCGTGTGATCTGAGATGTCAGACTTATACCTACGTGTGATATTGCCTATTTACCAGGTATCAACCTTTTTGTGACACTCGTGTGATCTGAGATGTCAGACTTATACACATACCTGTGATATTGCCTTTTTCCACAGGTAATTTTCGGGACGGTGATATTATTACTACGTCTGTTCCTTTGTTTCCACAGGTAATTTTAGGGACGGTGATATTGTTACTACGACTGTTCCTTTGTTTCCACAGGTAATTTTAGGGACGGTGATATCGTTGTTAGTAAAACTAAAGGAGGAACACGATGTTGACATTGTAGGCAACATTCCAACAGGGTAAGATATTCTGTAAAACTGTCACACAATATAAACCATAGTTATCAACCTTCACAAGTCAAAAGAACAAGATCTCTGTTTGAGATTTTTTTTGAAATTGTTTTCAAAGCTTTTTCAGTAAATTTCAAATGAAGCTGTTAATTTGATATATCCTGTGTAATTATGAAGAAAGTGGGTAACTATTTATAATGTATGTACTTATAGTGGGATAGAGAAAATAATTCTTCAAAACAGGAGAAATGGGGATAAATTCTTGGAAAAGGATATAGATTAGAGGGAGAAAGTCTTCAAAAGGGAAAGTTTTAAACTTCTCAGGGAGATTGTTTCTGAGGGGAAGGGGGTATTTAAATGTTTCATATACAAAGTAACCTCCCCTTAATTCCGTCTTGGCCAGACCTTTAGCATGGTATTGACGACATAGCTTGGCCAGACCTTTAGCATGGCATTGACCACGTAGCTTGGCCAGACCTTTAGCATGGTATTGACTACGTAGCTTGGCCAGACCTTTAGCATGGTATTGACCACATAGCTTGGCCAGACCTTTAGCATGGTATTGACCACGTGGCTTGGCCAGACCTTTAGCATGGTATTGACCACGTAGCTTGGCCAGACCTTTAGCATGGTATTGACCACGTAGCCTGGCCAGACCGATATGAAGTCCAGGGTTCAAAGCAGAACAATCAGAACACTATTGTTGATTACATATTGTTTACTTCATCTCTATTATTTTTCATGAAAGTCCCACAAGGTATGATTTTTAATTCAGTAACGATTTAACTAAGCTATAGTGATGCTGGCCAAATTGTTGCTTTCCAGTGAATTAAGTTACAGTTTTTGTCTATGGTTTTGGGTTTCTTAGTACAATGTTGTGATGTTGGATATATTGTACAGTATGGACTTCCCTGATATATTGTACAGTATGGACTACCCTGATATATTGTACAGTATGGACTACCCTGATATATTGTTGAAAATCTGGTTTATTATATAGGTTGTTAGATTATAAAGGTTTCTGGTTTATATAGGTTACACTATAGCTGTTTGTATCCAGCCAGTTATAAGTACATGTATAGTGACTTACACCCGCATACTGTTAGTGTCAAGTACCTGAATTGGTTCAAGGGAGGTAACTCTAACACATATAAACAAAATGTAATAAATAGATATGGGTAGAAATGATAAATATATAGTGTTAAACATGTATGAAAATATTAACAGTGTTTATTATTTTTCAATCAGAAGGTATGTTGATATTTCTTTCTTGCAGACTACCATCGCCAAAAACCCCAGACTTGTCGCTGGCACCAGACGTAATTGGTGATACGGTCGCCTTGGCGATTGTCGTGTTTGCCGTCTCGGTGTCCATGGGGAAAATTTTATCAAAAAATTACGAATATGAAATTGATGCAAATCAGGTAATGATAGTAATTATTACATGTATTATACTTAAGCTAAAGTGTATAATAATGCAAATTATCATATTGGCATTTAAACAAAAACAGCTTCTTAAAAAACCCATATAATCCACAATTACTCAATAAGAAATGGAAAGTCAAATGTGTACATAGGTTTTTTCAGTTTGTATATTTTATATAAATCATTAAATAAGAACGAGTTCAGGAACAGTCATTTGAAAAAGCAAAAATATAAAACAACTCTAGTAGTAATTGATTGATAGTCTCAATCGTTAAGTAGGTAATGGAGAATATAGAAATTCTACCGATGGTGTAGAAATGTTACGGATCTCCCCCATGCCTGCATAATGATTGACTCCATATCTCCCTACTATTACCTGGGATTTTGGAAAATTAACAGTGACTTTGTGAATACAACAATAAATGCAGTAGTATTCTAGATATACAACAGCAAACTGCAAAGCTTCTCAAAAACTTTTTCCAACAATTATGTATTTCCATGAGGCGATGCAAGTAAGTAAGTAAGTAACTGATCTGTTCTGGTGGTAGGTATTCTTCTACTTATAATTGGTGTCATATATCACAGAGACCATGCCATCATGACAGCAGTCAACAAGATATTAAACAATTCATCTAGTCTGCTTACTAGTCAGGATTTAGAAAACTTAGTTCCCAAGCTGCAGGTCTCTGGTTGTGCCTGTGATGGATAGAGTTTATTAATTGTGTATTTTGTATATGTGTTCGCAGGTTTATTTAGAGGCTGTATGTAAATCATGTTTCTCGTGATTTCACATTGGTTGATATTTCCCAAAACGGTTTCGGCAAAATCTAAGTGATGGTGTTGTTACAAGGCATAGCGTCTGGATCACCTCTGAACAAATTCTGTTTCTGAGTATAAGAGTATGGGAAGGGAAGTAACTGATATCTGAGACATGTCTTAGAATTAATTAGATTTCACTTTTAAATTATCGGTGTAGCTAATGGATTTTTTTTTGCAATCCACAGGAGCTGTTAGCTTATGCTGCATGTAACATTGTCAGCTCTTTCTTCTCTGCCTACACAAGTTCAGCATCCTTGTCACGAAGTTTGGTACAAGAACATGTTGGAGGAAGAACACAGGTAAGATGAACAAGTATTCCAGATAAAGGGGCAGAACGTGGGTTAGAGAAACAAGTATTCCACAGAGAGGGGCAGAATGTGGGTAAGAGAAACAAAGAGTCCACAGAGAGGGGCAGAGCATGGGTAAGAGAAACAAAGAGTCCACAGAGAGGGGCAGAATATGGATAAGATAAACAAGGATTCCACAGAGAGGGGCAGAGGTAAGAGAAACAAGTATTGCACAGAGAGGGGCAGAATGTGGGTAAGAGAAAAAAGTATTCCACAGAGAGTGGCAGAACATAGGTAAGAGAAACAAGTACTCCACAGAGAGGGGCAGAGCATGGGTAAGAGAAACAAAGAGTCCACAGAGAGGGGCAGAATATGGATAAGATAAACAAGCATTCCACAGAGAGGGGCAGAGGTAAGAGAAACAAGTATTCAACAGAGAGGGGCAGAACATGGGTAAGAGAAACAAGTATTCCACAGAGAGGGGCAGAACGTTGGTTAGAGAAACAAGTATTCCACAGAGAGGGGCAGAACATGGGTAAGAGAAACAAGTATTCCACAGAGAGGGGCAGAACATGGGTTAGAGAAACAAGTATTCCACAGAGAGGGGCAGAATGTGGATAAGATAAACAAGTATTCCACAGAGAGGGGCAGAATGTGGGTAAGAGAAACAAGTATTCCACAGAGAGGGGCAGAA